ATATATATATATATATACTAGCCGTTTACCCGCGCTAAGCGCCGGGCGGCAAATAGTTTCTTCGAAGATAGTCTTAATAGTTTTTTTTAGACGTGAGTTATTCATTGTGGCCATTTAGTAGACTATTATGTGTCGAATAGTTCATTTCAACATATAGTTTCTTGCTAGGTGTATAGTCATACAATACGATAAAAGTTGAGTCTACATCTCAAATAATTCATCTGATAGTTCATACTTGATTTTAACAATATATAAATAACAACAATCTGCAACCATATAGTTTTGTACATTTATAACATGTCCAATATATAACCTACACCAATCTGCAATCATGTTGCTTCATCTGCTAGCCCTGCATTAAACATCAAATAAGCATCTAAGATACATATTTGAAGAAATTGTATAATAATAAGTTGTTGATTGTACCTTGTTAATCACATAACACTTCTTTGTACACAACGTTTGATGTGTAGATTCCATCATTATGAAACGTTTTTTTCCGGCTTTACTAATACCTTGGTATTGACATGTGATATTCCTCTGGACAACGCCACATAAAGCTGGCCATGTGAGAATACCGATTCTGGTAGATAAACACCTACATTTGGAATTGTTTGTCCTTGAGCTTTATTGATTGTCATAGAGAAACTAAGCTGAATTGGAAACTGCTTTCTTTTAAGTTTGAATGGGAACATCTCATCGTCAGACGGACATAGAGGAATTCTTGGTAAAAACACTCTTTTTCCAGCATGTTGGCCAACCGCTATCTCTGCATCAATGACATTTTGTTGGAAAGCTCGACATATCAATCTGGTGCCATTACACAACCCATTTGAAGGATCGATATTTCGCAAAAGTATTACAGGGCACCCAGTTTTTAACCGAAGATAATGAGGGGGTACACCACTAACATTTAGCGAGTTCAAATACTCCATCGGATATAAGTTATTTTTGTCATCTTCCGCTTCATCAAAACTATAGTAAACTTTTTGCTCGCCAGAAAATCGTTCGATCAACTTATTATTAATCTCATCAACACTTTCATTTTTAGTTGACAGTATCGCCCTCGAAATGATAAATTTTGAGTCGGCGCCGTTGGATTCCAAAGAAGGAAATATTGCATCAATCAGAGCGTCCACTGATTTAGTTTATCAGTGTACCGAATGGACATGTTATCAGGTATACGAATATAGGACTCGTCCAATGTTTCCTCCTTTCCATCACCGACTCGTAATAAAAAATCAGAAAACCATGGGTCATTTACCGCTCTCATGTTGATACTTAATCGAAGCCTTTTAACTGAAGCCCATAGAGGTGACATTCGTAAGCTAGAGTCGACAATTTGTGCTCGAGTGCCACGTCTCACGACCGGTAACACTTGTCTAAAGTCACCTCCCATAACCATTATCTTTCCACCGAAAGGGAGCTTCTCATCTGTGATGTCTTGCATTGTGCGATCAACTGCTTCTACTGCCTGCCTCTTAGCCATTGCTGCTTCATCCCATATGATTACCTTTGCCTCGCGAAGTATCTGAGCCTTCCCACTTTGTTTAGTGATCTTGCACATCGAGTTATTATCAAGATTGAGCGGAATTCCAAATCGTGAATGAGCTGTTCTCCCTCCTGGCATGTTGTTAGCCGCAACACCTGACGTGGCAGTTGCAAGTGCAATAAGACCACGAGCACGAATATTAGCCAACAAAGCTTTGTACAAAAATGTCTTTCCAGTTCCACCGGGACCATCTATGAAGAAGACACCCGGAATATTTTGATCCACATGCCTCATTATCTCATCATATGCAAACTTCTGGTCTGGATTGAGAGAGTCTCGCGCATGTAAGTCTTCATATTCCACATTTATAGAGTATTCTTCTTGCACCTCACGATAGCCTCTTGATTGTAAATCGATGTGTGCACTGACCTTTGGAAGTCGTAATCACTAAGCTTTTTACTCATAGATTCTAGGAAGACTCTAATGTCGATGAGGACCATATTTTGCACTCGCTCGGCGCATCCATATTGTTTCCTGTAATCTTCAGAAAGAGAATTCATAGTGGTCGTCCATAACTTGCGAACATTCCTGGTTCACAAAAAATCAGCATCGTCGCAAATAACCTTCTAAGTGCGCTGGGAAATTGAAATAAGGAAGCCTCTTCAAGACACTGTGATAAATTATCATCGTCTCTATTAAACCTCTTTCAAGAGCTGCTTTTCGAAATGTAGGGTGTAATACACCATTTGCTGTGTATAAATCTTCAAAGCAGGTAGGCCCCATGATATGACATAAAAGCAGGCGTAGGTAGTATCTCTCTCCTTCAGCTGGATTAGCATAAACAAGTCGACCAACCATTGATTTATGTTCCCGGATCCTCCAACAATGGTTGCTCCGATTCCATGTAAAATGTTTGGGAAAATCCTTATACAAATATTCTCTCGCTTTGGAATCTTCTTTATTCTTCTTGAAAAATGCCGTCAACATTGAATCTTTTTCTTTCTCTCTATCAACAATGTCTTCCATTCTGTCAACGTCTTTGAAACCTAACCAACTGTTGATTCGGGAGATGTATTTGCAACGCCATCACACAAGGGTGGATTTTTGATAGAGGAAAGCTAAAAACTCGCCATAATGCCTCGGGAGGGGACACATAACGTGCGTCTTGAAACTTTTTTATCTCATTAATAACAACATTTTCTTGGTCTTTATCAATATGGATAACTTGTTTGTCATGGCCCTTATAAACATATTTGAAGAGGTACTTCACAGACTTTATACTCGAACAAACCTCAACGTTGATATGACAATTAAACATCATTAACAACTTCGGGTTGTATGGAGCCACCCATCTGTTATCCAATGATGTATTTCTTACAGTAACCTCAATTCCATTATTTCTCCTTCTATATAATGGATATGAGTCCTCTCCTTGTGATGTCTTTTCATTGAATTGCCTAGGATATCTGAAACGACATATTTTTGGCACACCCTGCATACACGGACTTTTTTCTCGTAAGCTACCACAGGGACCGTGCATCATGTGACTTTTGACAAGATCATGCATTTCAGGAAACCTTATTGGGTCGGGAATTTCGGCACACACAAGTTTGTCATAATCGTCTGGATTATTCATCTTATATCCAGGGGTCATTATTAAGAGGAAATGTGCATGTGGCAATCCACGCTTTTGAAACTCTATCACATACACATATGACCCCACCACACCGATTATATGTCTCTGCAATAATTGTACCTTGAGATCCTCTAACTTAGCATGAAAAACTCTTGCAACAAGGTCCGGTCGATCTTGAGCTGACTGTCCAGGCAATAACTCATCATCGATTTCTTTCCATTTTGGGTTGCAAGTCATTGTAAGAAATATATCAGGCCTCCCATCATCTTGAACTAAAGCCATGGCATCCAGAAATCTTCGGCGCATGTCACGTGGACCTCCAATGAAACTTGCAGGTAACACAACTCTCTGTCCAACCCTACTTGGTTGAGCCTCACCGGCATTAAAACAATCAACAATGCCCTGGTATAAATCAGCTCTAATTTTGGTTTGGTTCTTTTCAACAAAAACCAAACGTGTAGTCTCAATCTTTATATAGGTATCTACTGCAAACTGCTGGAACAATCTCCCTCCCATCAAAATCACATTATCATTCGACCGTATCTGGAACTTGTAACAATAGTACTCCCGCATACTTACAGTGTTTCTGCCTTTTTTTGAAGTAGATCCTGTGATATCATAATTTATGTGAAAAATATAAATTTAATATCCAAATATTTAAGGTAATACGTGTTACATGTTTTAAATATGTAAAAGAATGTTAAAGGCGTACCTTCTGAACCTTCATCATTGTCTTCATTGTCACTAATAATTTCATCCATGGCCACCCCATATCTTGGTATTTTAGGATGCCATCCAGACTCACCATTAGGAAAGAATAAAGGATACGACAAAGGATCATAACAACCAAAGTGAGGTTGAATTTCAGTACTATAGTTAGACCTCCCGTAGACAATAATACTTCTTTTATATGCAGTGATGTTGTCATTTCCTTCAACCCAAATACCAGCAACCTATGCAAAGGTGTAGTTCAATATGGTGATTAATATGATATGTATAACAATAAATATGAGACATTTAATTTTAAAATGAATAAAGTTAAATGTTACTATTCACACCTCAGATGTGGTAGGCTTATTGTACACCCTTTGGTCAAGCTCCACCGATGCATTCAAAGTCACTCTATAATTATCAAGCGGTCCTAGATCAGAAAGTTGTTTAAATGTTCTAACGTACGGATTCGAAGCTAGAATACGTGTTAGTTTTTGGATGATTCTTCTATCAACATTCTTCCAGGAGGATCTTTGTGATATTTCAGCTTCACCGTCATAAAAATACAACTGTAAATACCTCGATTTACCATCCCTTGAAATTAGCTGATCGATATTATGATAGAGTGTTCCGTGCGCACAAAAAGTGTAAACTCCAGAATTCATATTGGCCAATTCTTTATCCACATTTACACCTAGTGATGCGAAAGAAAAGTTTGAGTTATACGCCCTTATATTGTACCTGAAGCTTTCTTCTAGCTGCTCTTGCCTTGTGAAGAGTTGGTGCAACTCTGTGGGAATAGGGGAGTGTGCCAGTTTTGTCTTCCCACTCATGCAACAAAAGGTAGGGAATTCATATTGTAGTCGCTTTGCTCCACAATAAACACAAGGGTTTTGAGCCTTTAATATACGATGTTCCATACGGATATTTTCATAAACAAAATCATACGGATCGTCCTGAAAGGCGTATACTCTTCTTTTTGTCATCATAGTTCGTTCCTTTCTTCGTTGATAATATTCTTTATTATAAGTACTCGTCCTCTGAGCAGCACTTATAACACTCACAGAGGAATCTTCGTTGATATTTCTTTCGTTTGTCTCCATTATAGTGCAACTTGTGAGTGTTGTAGGTTGACTACATCCTTCACTGTTAGCTATTCTTCTCTTTTTGTTTTTCTCCTTTTTTCGTGCATAATAGTTTCTATTGTATCTTTTTCGATTTTCTACAAACATATTATTTGGATAAATAGTTATATATTATAAATGCAAATATATACTCATATAAACGACATACCTTTTTCTATATCTATCGGGTTTTGGGAATCATCACAGTTTTCGTTTCCCTTATCTACAGTCCCCATTGAACACTATAATAGAAATGTTAAGAATAAGCACATATTATATCATCAAGAATGTAACATTTTGTAATGTAGACCATGTGATTTAGTAGTCATGTATGTGTGTATTTCAAAAAGCAACACAACCCTTAATAAATAAACAAATATACTAAAAACTTGTAATCCAAAAACACAATAGAAGAAAGTTATACATAATTAAAAGAAAATTTCCATAGATATCCAAAAATTATTATTTATGAATTCATAAGTCAACACAAGAAAAATAAACCATACATTAAAAAATTCACCATAATATGTCTAACATTAATGTAGATCAACAATAAAAGCAACGCACTCGTAAAAGTTGTCAAAACTTCAAAAAAAAAACACCACCAAATGTCTCACACGGAATTAAAAATTCTTCTAGGCATATTTATGATGTTAAATGCTTCCGGCATCCGCGGTTGGAACTCTACGTTGCTTAGTTTGGTTGATATCAATAACAATTTATATTAGTACAAACTTATCATATATCAGATCTAAACATTAACAACTGTACACATGCTCATTAATTCAACAAGAGATTCTCACGTTACACTAATTTTTTGTTGAAAAACTAATCAAATTTGATTTAAACATTAATTTATTTTTTGTTTTTTAAATACCAACACAACCCTTAATAAATAACCAAATATACTAAAAACTTGTAATTCAAAAACACAATAGGAGAAACTAATATATAGTTAAAACAATTATCCATTAATATCCAAAAATTATTATTTATCAAGTCATAAAGCAACATAAGAAAAATAAACCGTACATGAAAAAATTCACCACAATATGTCTAACATTAATGTAGATCAACTCTAAAAGAAAACGAACTCGTAAAAATTCTCAAAACTTCAAAAAAAAAAACACCACTAAATGTGTCACACGGAATCAAAAATTCTTCTAGGCATATTCATGATGTTAAATGCTTCCGGCATCCTCGGCTGGAACTCTACGTCGGTTAATTCGGTTGATATCAAAATGTTCACTGAAAATAATATAAAAACTATTAAAATATATTGATTTAGTTATTTTAATATCACTACAAGTATATAATTTTCTAAAAAAAAACTTACTTGTATCCAAATGAACCAATTTTACCCGAGAAACAAATATTATATAGTTTCTCTTTATTGCATAGCAAGTCCTCACAATCTGATGGCGTGTTCGTGCGGTTACATATAGCTTCAACTTTATTATACTCTCCCTATTTATAATCAAATATTTCCAAAGTCATCTAAATTTGTTTTAGTATAATAATAATAATAATAATAATAATAATAATAATAATAATAATAATCACTTACGGGCCATCTTGGAGATATAAAGTGAACGAAGTTAACGGCATTAAACCAAAGTAACGGGAATATTTTCGCTTGCCTTTGATGATTTTTCCAACAATATCTAAAAAACAACGATTATTAAAATGATAAGTTATTATTTTAAAAAATTTAGGATGTTAAAAATATATATAAAAGTTATTAAATTTACCAATCATCATTTTTCTCTCTGTCCGATCCTCTATTAAACTTTTAATCGAGGGAACCAATGGAAAAACCGGAAACCATGATATGATAGAATCGGCCAAACGATTAAACCGCGTGTTATTGCTGATCCTAATCATCAGATCACCACGTAATAAGCTGTATTTTTGATACCTCGGATACTCAGCATAGGTTGGTTCGATTTGGAAATGGTTTAAAGAGAACACACCACCCAATAGATTCCCTCCATAAACAAAACGCATCATTTGTTGTGGAACAACTGCTACCAATTTTTCTCTCTAATAGAAAATGTAATATTTTTATAAACAAAATACTTATGATAAATTATGAAAATGAATATAAGATATAAATAGTTTTTTAAACATGCATTTTGATCAATGAGGATAATGAAGAGTTTGTTTGCTTTTACGTCTCTCCAAATGAAATTCACACGAACGGGTGTCAAAATATACCACAAATGGAAGTTCAGTAGCAATGAAAATGCATCAACATAAATGTGACCGTTCATGATTCTACAAAACAAAAGTCAGATATGATTGATTAAAATTGTCAAAATTGAATTTAAATCTTACTTTTTGTTGAAATGGTTAAAATTGTTTAACAATACAATGACTCTTCTACAAACTAACTAAACGATTACAATTGACAATTGAGATTCCATTTTAGCTGACGGTCGTGGATAGGATTTGACAATTTGTTACAAATGGATAAGTATTAATTCTTAAAATAATTTATTCCATCTAAAATTACCATCTAACCCTTTAGCTGAAAATATTGAACCTAATCTAATCTAAGGTAATGAAACTTTGGGTTTTATACTTAAACTTTGAACCAACGATTTTAAACGATGAAACATCAATACTAAATTTGGTGTTTAATAAAGTCTTTCGTCACCAAATTTAATGTGACATTATTCATAACACCATTTCTACATAAAAAAAATTATGTTGATGTAGAAATGATTTACATCATTATTTATATAAAAAATTATATCGATTTAAGTGCCAAATGTATAATAATATAGGTATTGTAAATTTGAAATATCCAAGCAATAAGACTTTTTATTACATTAGTTATCAGAAGTCAAGTTGATGACAAACTTTATCAATTTATATCTTATTTGACCATTTTCATGAAAAAGTTTATCAAAACAGCACTTATTTGACCATTTTCATGACAAAGTTTAGGGAAACGAATATTCAAAAGTAGAAAACCCTAAGTTGCCTATATCCCCAATGCCTCAAAAATTACTAAACAGACATCATTTCTGGATTATTATGGTTTTTTTCATATTTCCAATCTATGTTTTTTTAGTTACACTTTGCAGCATTTGGAACCGGATTTTTTTTTCACATCCTATATTTTTGTTGAACCAAGGGCAAATCAGTAAATTCATAAACTGTGGATATATCATATCATATATGTAATATTTGTGATATATGTGATATTTATAAGTATATAGACCATAGTTATATGAGTAAACAAAAAAGGGTATATTCTCTTTAAGTATATACTAAAATTAATTGGCAAAAATAAAAATGCACATACAAAAAAAAATGATGAAGTCTCTACTATTACAATCATAAAAACACGAAGACACATTCACTCAAACTCAAAAAAACTGTTTTTTTGTGTATGTTAAGATATTGGTTTGATGGTCACAACATTTTGCTAAACATTAATTTCTTAGTTTTTCTCATGTAAAGAAAACCATGTTCTCTTTCAAGAAGAAAAAACAGAAAACTTTGTTAAAGTCCCTGCCATTTAAGACCGCAAACACAGTCACTCAAATAGACATACACACAAGGTCAAAACATATACATATACAACCATACATATATACAATGTAACAAACACGTACATACACACCAAATCTACATATTATATAAGTGTATTACATGACACAGATGAAGTTTATCACTTCAAATAGAAGAAATAAAATATTATAGACATACTTGAAGTTATAACAGATAGAAAGAAGTAAAGTTTACCTGAATTCGTGTGTCACGGAATGCAATGCAATGCTGCAGTCTTCCCGATTCCAAATGAATGATTCAATCGTCTCAAACCCTAACTGTCGAATTGTGCTCTGAGAGTTAGAAATGAAGAACATATATTATATTTATAGTTGGAATAAGGTATTATAGAATAGAAAATGATATATTTTTGGATATTAATAATCATTCCAAAATAATCAAATTAAATTCTTACCATGAATAGTATCGTTGACAAATATAATTAAAAATTTAAAAATGAATATAATAACTGTCAAAATCCATACCAAAAATATTTAAAATCATACAAAACTTAACAAATATACTCAAAATTTTAAAAATTAAAAGAAATAGTTTAAATCATACCATAAATACTAAATGTCAAAAATCATACCGAAAATATTTTAAATTATACCATAAATACTAACTGTCAAGAATCATACCGAAAATATTTTAAATTATACCATAAATACTAACTGTCAAGAATCATATCAAAATTAATCATATTATCATCATATTTTAATTAAAATAGTATCATACTAAAAATAAAATATACATTAGAAGCTAAAAATACTGTAAATGTTAGTCAAAGTAAATGTAATGTAAGTTGAAAACAAAGTAAATAAGAAAATTTGACAGTATTCTGCAACCAATACAGTTATTTATTTATTTATTTTTAAAATATTTTAAATAGAAACAAACATTAACCTTTTTTCTATCAAAAATTAGTTAAAGTAGTTTTTTGTGTAACTGAATCATAAAACGAATGGAATGCTTCAAATAAACAAATGTTAACCTTTTTTCTTTCAGGGGCACTCATAATTACACTTGGAGCTATTGCTTTAGGAGCACTTATTAGAACTCGGTACGTGTTCTTTACTTGTCCAAGTTCAACAAGCACTTCATCTGTGTAAGGCTTCAACCACTCAACAATTTACTGGAAGAGCATAACAATTTACCACACGATTCGGTGAAAATATATAAAAATTAATGAATAATGGTAAGAAGGGTATAAATGGAAAATGTGAAAAGTAATCTACCCTTCTTTTTGGCCAAAGCCCGAACCAGGGACATCAGAAATGCCAGTGGGACAGTAATAGATCTGCTTTCCATTTTGCTGTGCAAACAGGGCAAATGTGATTCCCATGTTTCACTGCAATCGGACAAGATCAAAAATTAAGAAAAAAAGGCATAAAACGGAATTAAACGAGGCATACAAAATTGCTAACAGTATCCTGACCCTGAGTAAATACAAAGTCGAAAACCCCTAAAAAAAATGCATTCGTTTTAAGGTTGTTTACCATAGCTCATAGGAATTAAAGGTTTAGATTATTTTTTTTCTCAAAAACATAAAGCAACTTCAAGACTCTGGTGATAATCATGTTGGCATGAATAACTTAACAAAAAGCAAACAGCCACAAAATCCATAAGATTGTAAGATTATCCGTTTTAGATCCATTTTGCATGTGCAACTACCCGTCAATCTTCAAAATAATTTAATATTAACCCAAAAATGACATGTCCTTTTGCACTAATCGATGTTATAAAAAGCAAAATCCAACTGTACGATAACAGCAGTTAACGATTAACAGAGCCCATACGAACAGATTTTTCTAACGTATAATAACAACAGGAAAAGAAAATCAAGCCAAATGATGTGAAGGAGTATTATATAGTATAAGAAAACAATGGGAATAAAAAATTGAATTGATAGAAATGAAATACCCTAGCATAGGTAGTGTTGAATCCAGCCAAATCGAGCGCCTCATGGAGAAGAAATACCCTCATTTGTTTTTGTTTCAGACATTTTGCACGTATTTACAGAAAAAGCTGCCAATAACAAAAGAGTGGGATAAATTATTTGTTAGTAATTCTTCTTCCATAATTAGAGAAAAGAAAAAAATGGAAATTGAATTACCTTTGAGATCAAAGGGGTTTTTCTTGGTAGTAATCCACCGTATTTTTTCTTGATTACTGCTGTCTGCTTCCTGTTTAAAGGTCATATGAAGATAGAGTAAAGACTTTTAACTAAATACCTTGAATAGCCTTTAACTTATGACAGAATACAAAGATCTTAAGATAGAAATGTAAAAATATGAAAATAGGTAAAGTGTGCATACCAGGATAACACACGCCTGTAATTCTTGATGTACCCTATCAATTTATCATCATAATCAAACCCGGGGTTCCATACCAATGAACCATAGCTAAACACCCAGAAAACCATGATGAACTCCTCACAAATAACTAAAGTTTTTTCATTACCTTAAGTTTTTTATGCTAAATTGTCATGAATATGAGGCACAAACCAACCTATGTTCCTGCTATACCCATGGCGAATCCGATATCTGATTCATGTAAAGCTGGAGCATCATTTGTCCAATCATCTTTGTTTTTTTGATCTAGCCATCACCACGTTTTTTTGTTTGTACCTGAATGGTATTAGGGCACAAGGGGTGAGGACATCAAAAAGAATCATTCATATTTCAGTTACTGCAAAAGAGATAAATATAGATGGAGAAGTCAAAATTAGAATGAAAAAAGAAACCTGAAACATCCAGATGAGGTGATTGTGTTAAAAATTAGATTCAAAATCGATTTTATAGAAGAAATAACTTAACAAATCAATTTAAAATAACAAATCAATTTAGAGAAGAAAGAAAATGAGTTCAGCGATGGAGAAGAGAAGCTTACCTGATGAGGAAGGAGATGAATTGGTGGATCTAACATAGGAATTCCAAGGACTGGTTGAGGAAATCGCTGAAGTCGCTGGAGTTTTGAACCAGAGAACATTTGTGATGTGAGGGTGTCGAATGGTATTAGGGCACAAGGGGTAAGGACGTCAAGAAGAATCATTCATATTTCAATTACCTGCAAAAGAGACAAATATAGATGGCGGAGTCAAAATTAGAATGAAAAAGAAACCTGAAACATCCAGATGAGGTGCGGAGAATGAGTAAAGAAACCTGAACATTTGTGATGTGTGGGTCTCTTTTGCTGTGTTCTTCGTCGGGATGGCAGAGATGTCTCCAACAAAGGACGTTCGATTTCAGGTTGAGCTTCAAATCAAACCCTTAAACTGCCAAATCTGATGGATTTACAGATCGGCTCAGCATGTAGTCAAGAAACAAAAAGACTCCTCAACACCGTTTAGGGTTTTTTTATGTGTGTGTGTGTGTGTGAGAGAGAGAGAGAGAGAGAGAGAGATAGGTGATGGAGAAGTGACGGAAGAGATTGAGAGAAATGACGGCAGCCATGGACCTTCGGTAGGAGACTGGAGATCACAGCATCTTTGGTGGAGACGATGAGAATAGTTTTGATGGCGGCTGTGTTTAGGAAATTAGGGTAAGGTCTAGTGTAGTGTATGCGATGTATGTAATACGTATGTACACGATGTAATAGATCCGTGAAGTGTAATAGGTATTAGATTGGTTATATGTTTATGCTTAAAATCATTGTATATGAGGTAATATATGTTGTACCTCTTAATTTTCAAGAAGTGGGCAATATCCTTAATAATATAGTAAAGATATATATTCACTCTAGTAATTATTATACAACACTTTGTAATTTTATAAATTTTTGTTGGAGTAATTATTATACAACACTAGGTGTGATACCCATATATTATACATGTTGATTTAAAAAAAAAATAAACATTAAAGTGTAAACATAAAATATTTTTTAATGTACAACTTTAAAATAAAAAAGAAAAAACGTATTTATTGCAATTTAATATGATATTTAATACTTTACATATATAAGTATATGAATTTAATTTTAAATATTGAAACAAATCAAAAATTGACAAATTGATGATATTTATTTCAAAAATACCATAAAATGATAAGTGTTAAAACTCATGAAAGATTGATATGTGGCAAAGAAACTTTCATTTATTAAGGAGGATTTATAATTATACCCTTTAAACTTTTTTATGGCGCACTCGCACCTTATATTTTAAATGGATGTTTGATAAAATCTAAACTTTTAATATTTGCGTTTTTAAAAGTTTTAGATTTTTATAAAGTTTTGAATTTATAACTTTTAAGAAATGGTTGGCTAAATGCACACCCCATTTTACCATTTAGACATACTATATAATTCTTAAGGTATTTTTATTGGTTAAATAAGGACTTTTAAAAAGTCACAACAATGGCTTTTTGCGACTTTATATGTAAAAGTTAACACAAAAATCATTTTACCAATCGAAATACTTTTTAAAGAACTTGTTTTACAAAAAATCCTTTTATAAAAAATCATTTTATTAAAAGTCCTAAAAAAAAACTTTTGATGTTAAAAAGTAATCTCAAACACCCCCTAAAAAGCCGGAGAGGACAACAAGATTAGATACTATACACTCCTCCAAACTCATTTAGTCCATTTGTCACTTCAGTTTTTTTTTACTTCTTACATCATTTTCAACTTACAATACAGAAAAAGTCATGTTCTCAATTCATTCAAGTCAATTGTCATATGGTTATTATTATTTTAATTAATTAGAAAATTAAAAATAAAATAAAACAAAAACATCATTTTTATTCTTTAAAATAACCATTTAAAATTTTAAATCAAAAAATTATAAAATAACATTTAATTACAAAACCAAACTACAATAAAACATACATTAATTCATAAAACAACAATTAAAAAGAAAAGAAATATCAAAAATACTACAAACGAGAAACCAAAAGAAACACTAAATCTTTCATCTTATCTCGTAACGAAAATCTTTTATCATATGGTCTTCGTGATACTTATTTTTTGTTACGTTGAAAACGTCTTTGTCGAAAACTTGGGCCTCTATCTATTCATCTTGTGGGTGAAAATAACATTAAACTATTTCACATTTACTACATATCTTTTTAACTGTAGTAATTTGATGTTTTGAGCGATCTAACCCCTTAACATGCCGCTTAAAATGATCTATAACAAATTACTAAAAATATGACGATCTATATTGACTAACTTGTGTGTTTTTGAATGTGTCAGTGTATGCCCTGAACAACGTCGCTTCTTCAAATTCAGACCATTTTATGCATACATCTGACATAGGAATAACATCTATTTTCTAAGAAAAATGAATTGAAATGAAAATGAAATTTAAAGAGGAAAATGGAATAAAATTGAAAAGAAGATGTGTGATTTTGAAATGGTAGAATAGAGTATTTATAATAGTATAAAAGGAAAAAAAATGTATAAGTTGGAGGCCGGTTCCACAACCTGCATGAAGCTTCTTCCGGTGGTACCCTGCGCGCCGAAGTCAATAACAACACTATCCACCCTAAGAGAGAATAAGGAGACGGTCGTGTGAAATAGAAAGAAAAGATGGAAAAATGTTTGCTAAAAAATTATAGCATTTTCGAAAAACACTTTTTTTTTAAATATAATTGTTTCTCTTAAAAATTAAAAATGACTACTAAACAATTAAAAGAAAAAAATTAAGAGAGTATCAAACGTTTTGAATCTAAAAAATAAAGGGTTATTGTCCTATAGCTCAACAATCTTTAGTATAATGGTTTAAATGACCCCTCATGTTTTTTTTCCTTTAAAGGGTACGAACTTTTATTTTACCGATCCTTTTGGTACTTTTACTGTAACATCCTAATGATGAGGTACTTTTTAATTTTGGCCCTATGATTTATTTTATGTTGTAGTTTAGACCCTAAGTAAAAGAAAGAGTGCAATAAGGGCCCTAGTGCTATTTCTATAATTTTGGGTTTGGGGGAGTATGTCATGTGTACATGTGTACGTTGAGCGTACTAGGACATGCCCTAGTACATTGGGCGTACATCTGTACGCACGACGTACATGCCCGTCATGCAAACCTTGATTTTTTTAGTGTTTGAAACATATTTAAACCCCATTATAGTGTCACTTCCTCTCACATCATCAGCCTCCATCCTCTTGGAATGTTCATGCAACCCTAATCCATCTTGTGAAGCATTTTTAAGCTTCATTGTGGATGTTTTGTGCCTTTGAAGAAGAAGGAAATTAGTGGAGACCATCTTGGAGGAGTGAATCTCTTTATATCTAGAATCTCACAACCTTTTGGCATCATTTGGAGGTATAAAGTTCTAAACTTGGTGAAGTTTCATTTAGATCTTGTGTTGGGTTGGTTGTTGGTTCCTTTTTGTCCTAAATGTGGTGATTCATAAACATAAAATGTCCTTGACCCATTAAGTTATCCTTTCAGAACCTAAGAGAGGTCTTAAGTCATAAAAATGGGATATAAGTGGTTGATTTTGCTCCATGCATCATTTAGAGGGTCTTAATGGATTAAGATGTTGAGTTAAGCTCTTAATGGACATGTAAAGTCATAAAGATGGAAACTTTATGACTTTAGAGGGTATCTTAGCCTAGGATATGAAAGTTAGATGTAATAACTTATGACATTAAGCACTTAATAAAGTTTGGGAGATCCGGGAGTACGCCCTACGTAATCTGAGTACGCAGTGCGTATGTGGTCAAAGCCCCCGATCGCGGTCAACGATGGAGTACACCCCGCATACATCTAGAGTACACCCCACATACGTGCACTGTTTCAACTCGGCTGAGTTGACTCAGCGAGGTTGACTCAGTTGACTTGTGGATTTTTGATGAGTTTGACCTTGGACCTTGACTTTTGTTGACTCCATTGACTTTTGACCAAGTTTGACTTAGGTCAAATTTGAGGGTTTGAATTGGTGATTAAGACTGTATATAGCGCTAATGATTAGTGGATCCGCAGGAGTAAGCAGTGTAGTTGGGAACGGATCGTGATATTCTTGGGTTTCTTCATTTCAGGTGAGTTTCGCCCCATTGTACTATGGGTCGAAAGAACCAATGATGGCCCACTAGTTTTCAGTTATCTAGAAGAGGGATGTCATAGGGACTGTATATAATCACGTAGGATAGACTGAGTACTCTTGATCTAGTCTTGATCTAGGCTCTTTTACCTGTTCCTTTTTTGTTTGTGGTTCTAGGGTAGGATCATCTGTCTGGGTGACTATCTCACCTATGATTATATACGGTCAAGCATTCCTTAGATTCTTGCTACTTAGTATGGCACTGTGTTGTAGTGATCGGTTAGATCTGTATTTTGGTATAAGTATGAAAATAGGCTATGTTGATCTGTTAGATCTGTATTCCTGTGTCGAGTATGTTGCTATGGTTTAGTGATCTACTAGATATGTATTATGGTATTGAGTATGTTGTTATGTTGTAGTGACATGTAGATCGGTATTTTGGTATGTAGGATATTGCTATGCTATAGTGTACTCATGAATTTGTATGTTATTCGTACTTACTGGTTATCATTTGGTAGAGTGCCCTAGGGACTGTCTGTGCTTATGTAGGATAGCCTATGATCTCTTGGTTTAAGTTGTCTTGCTTGTTTCTTATTTGGTTGTGGCTCTAGAGTAGGATCATTTGTCCGAGTGGTCGTCTCACCTCTGGCTACTTATTGTTGTGCACTTCATGGAGGTTAGCTGGTAGTAGGATTGTGTATTGGGAGAGGACTAGTAGGCGGTAGTGAGTTGTATTTTTGTTGTTTGACTATTTTATGTGCCTACTTGATCCTTGTTGGTTATATGTTGACATATGGTGTTGGTGGGTTGAGGTGGTCCTGCTTTGTGTTCTTGGCCAAGATACCTTGTGAGGGCCGCCTGTAAGCTGAAAGCACAGAGGCTTAGGAGTAGTGGTTGGGTTGAGGATGTAGGCTAACAAACCCTAGTATTCCATCCCGGATAGACTGAAGGCCTGCGAGGCGGTCCAGTTAGGCTGAAGGCCAAAGAATAGCAGTTATGCATGCTTGTATATTTATCGTATGGGGTATTTTGGGGGAATCTCATTAAGGTTTATGCTTAACCAGTTGTTAATGGTTTCAGTATCATCGGTGATTGTGAGAAGGCGAAGGCAGGATTGTACACACTCATTAGCAACATTGAAGATTCAGTGTTTTCTATGATATTCTGATTTTTAATAAATTTAATT